ACAGGGCATCTCTTAGTAATGCTATAAAAGTGGTATTTTATGTGACTAACTTTAAGACCCAGCTAAATAGGTACCAAATCAATGCACACAGCAATCAACAAATGAGCAAGTATTGAACTGCATACATGTGTGGGTGTCATTTTTTGCGCGTGAAGTAATAAAATTAAATTAAATAAAATAAAATTAAATTAAATTAAATATGATATATGATATGATATGATACTTCAAGACACTAATATCAATGCCAGGTACAGAAATACATTTATATTTTTCGAGAAATCGCCTAAAACACTTTTAAGCTTATACAAAAGAACCTGTTTGAGCCAGCTTAAAAATAGTTTTGGATCAGTCATTCATGGAGAGCCCAGAGTTTCATCGACTCCTACCTCTATTGCATCAGGAACCCGAGTCCTCAGATGCATGCATAGACGTGTAAACCAGAAAAGTGTTTCATAATACAGGGCATCTCTTAGTAATGCTATAAAAGTGGTATTTTATGTGACTAACTTTAAGACCCAGCTAAATAGGTACCAAATCAATGCACACAGCAATCAACAAATGAGCAAGTATTGAACTGCATACATGTGTGGGTGTCATTTTTTGCGCGTGAAGTTGTATCTCCATTCATCATCTGCATGTTGTCAACACAAACAGAAGCCCTCTCAAATATAAACAAATCTGGCCCGTGTAACACAGAGATAACACAAACCACTGCATCCATGTCAATAATTGCAGCAGATGCAATCTCTCCCTGCGGAACAGAATGGATGAATCTGTCCAGCACTTCAGACACTCCTCTGTGTATCCACTACAGGAGCATATTTATCACTGAACGTCCTGACGGAAAGCAAAAATGATGTTTATAAAGTAGTAAATTTAGAGCAGGGGGGGCTTCAGTACGTTTGATGGGTTCCACCCTCCAGAGATTTAGGCCTGTCAGAAATGCAAGTTTATGGATATTGGGTTTTTCAGAAACTTCCCACTGTCAATTGTAGCCCAGCAGGAAGTGACCTTGATGTGGAAAATATAACTCGAGCATGATTACCGCTGCATCATCCTGTGCAACAGCCGGTTTGACAGGCAAGGACGATGTTTCTACTGAGTCACAAATTAACTCAAACCCCACAGCGATTTCAGCTCTGAAAGCCAGCTGAAGAAACAACTATTTAAACCAGGCACCTTTCTGTCGCCGATGGAAGAGTGTGAGGAATAACTAAATTAAAAACTGTGATAGCAACTATTGAGCTTCTCATGAAATATTTAAGTCGCACTCGTTGATGGGTTTTAATAGGTTTAATGACCTTTTTTAACAAAGAATACAGTAAGACTTTACAATAAAATTAAGTTAGTTAACATCAGTTAACTATGTTAAAAATGAATGAAAAATACTTTTACAGCATTTGTTAATCTAGAATAATGGGTCACACTTTCTTGCTATTAACAAACCATTAACTAAAACTTTTAATTTGCAACTTATTAATAGTTAGGTAGTTGTTACGTTTAGGTATTGGGTGGGATTATGGTCATGCAGAATATGTGCTCTGTAAGTACTAATAAACAGCCAATATGTTAATAATAGGCATACTAATAAGCAACTTGTTTCCTTCGTCGAATCCGCCGCCTCTGCTCACTCTAGACCTCCGGCCGTTCCTCACTTTATCCCCCGGCCTCTGCTCACTCTAGGCCGCCGTGTGTGACGCT